GGAGACAAATTGTTTTGGGTTGAGGAGAGCTGAACTGTAGAAATCATTTCCAAATCTCAGAGTCTTATCAACTTCAGACGTATTGCAGGATATACTTTTTGTTTTTTTGTAAAACTCTCCCTAGCCCACAAAATTCATAGATGAGGGAAAGAAAAAAAAATAAAAGCAAAAAGAAAGCCTTCTCTACCAGGGAGAGAGAAGCTGTCGAAGGAAATGACCCTAAAATTCCCTTGGCAGAAAGATCTGTTTTACCTAAGAAAGGATAGGAGCTATAGAAAACTCCAATACAGGTATGACTAAACTGGACATATTCCCTATTGATAAATCAGTTTTTACATAACCTACCGAATAGAAAAGGCACCTACAGCATAGCAAACATTTGGCTGGAATCCTAAAGTGCGCGGTGATAAGAAAAGGATATTTAGTGCCTCATACAGCACTTTTGATCTTCAAAGGATTTTTCATTTGACAAAGTGGCCAGGGACAGAGACAGTGGCAAGGAAAACTTCCACTAAGGATGTAGGGATTAATAATACAAAAAAATAAAGACCCAGTGATATGATTTCCATGAGCTCTTTCAACCTTTCCTTTGCTGTTTACAGTGCAGTCACCATTTGTACCCAGAGCTTGGAAGATTTCTCATACATACTAGGTGTATCTACATGTGCTATTAAGGCAATGGAATAAACTCTGGAAAAGTTCAAGCCGGAGTTAACTGCTCCCAGGCGTAGCATCTGCAAGCGTGTCTGGGACAGCAGCACTGAGCCACGGCGGAGCAGCCCCAGGCTGGCAGCAGGCTCAGGGGGTCAGTCCTGGGCTCCAGGTGACAGTGTCGGCTGGTGGAGGGTCTGGCTGGGGCACAAGAGTGCCCAAAGTGCAGAGCCATGTGGTTAGGCAGTAGGCAGGACTTTGGCCCCGTGGTGCCTGGGCTGGCAGGGAGCAATTTATGCCTTTGTCAGCATTTACATGCATGTTTCACCACAGTTAATAACTCCAGTATAAAATAGTACCATCTCTGACAGTACTATCTTCCAGTGGGGTTAATTAATTAACTGTCCCCTAATATTGGTGTTTGTGTAGACACTGACGCTTTACTGCAGAGCTAATTAGTCCACCTACAGTAAAGCGCACATGTAGATGCACCCATTGTTTCTTATCAAATTCTGTCTTCAGATTACTGCATCTCATTGGGCGCGTCTACATAAGATGCTACTGCACAGTAGCTCATCACTAGCGAGTGGTAGCACTGGCAGGCACTAACCGTGATGTACCTCTACTGTGCAGTAGCTCGTTGCCACTGTGCAATAATGTCTGAAAAAAACCCCATGCGGCGACAGCACCGCGCACTAACACCGGTGGTTACAGTGCAGTCCGCCTCTCATGTAGACGCAGCCACTGAGTAACTGCAGAAGCTGAGACCACCTTCCAAGATGTGATGTGTTGCAACTGCCTCCACTATCTGCATCCATTGCCCAGGGGCCACCTTTTCAAAACAGTTTGATATGCTTTCACTTGAGCACTTAAATGAAATGACCAGGTTTGAAAAAGTGAAAATAACACAGCCAGCGAAACGCTCAGCACTTTCAAAAAAATTGGCTGCTTCATTTAGGTGTCTAGTTCTTAAAAACAGGGTAGGCTTTGGTCAAGAGTAGGAAGACATGAGGATCTTTGTAAGCTACCCTTCAAGACAGGTTGCTTTCTAATTTGTTTCATAAGTGTAAGTACAGATGCCCTTAACCCTGAGAGAACAGGGAAGGTGTACAAGCCAGCAGCTAACAGACTCTATTTTTAGCTGATTCATATGTCAAGTGAAGCAAGTGAAGCATATATATATATATAAAATATTGTTTTTATATTTTCATCAATAACAGTAGTTTTATAAATAATCCTCCTATAGTATAATTAGTGATTAGCAAGTCATAAAGATGTTGAGGTATGGGTAAGCCTCAGAAGGCATGAATGTTCAGTAAAGAGAAAGAAAGGATCTTCTGATCTCCTTCAGAGGATAAAACTGAAATTGGAGTATGATGGAGAAACTCATTGCAAATATGGTGAATTAACAACAAATATAAATATACGGAGTCCCCAGCAGCCTAATCCATTTTTATATAAATGAAAAATGCACTCTTATTTCAAGCTTGCTCCAATTGGAAAATCTGTTTAAAGGTTTTTTTGTAGTATAAAGCAACACGTATCTTCCATCAGCTTCAATGTTAGTTTTTTGCACTCTACTATGCTAGCTTGAAGGGCAAAAATTGGTTAGACATAAGCCATTACAAGCTATTGCACTATTCATAGTTTGTGGAAACACAGACTATGTGTTTTATACAGGAAGTACCGTCTTATTTTACTGCATAAGGATTTAAGCTCATAGGATAAAAATCAATCCCATCCAGAGTACCTACCTAAGGACTAATAGCTATTTAAGTGTGAGCCCTCAGCACAGAGGGTTGGTCCACCTCCCATTGAAATCAATGAGAATCTTTCCATCGACGTCAATGGGACTTGAATCAGACCACCACCTTCTAGAGCACCAAGGTAAGAAGCTACTTACCTTGAAGAACTGAAGAAGGTCAGTTCACGTGTCTAAGTTACAAGAACACTCCAGACATTTTGTTCAGCCCAGCAAATGTGAAAGAACAAAAGGGGAGGACATCTTTCACCAGAAAAACGTTGCTGAAAAGGGTCATCGCTTGAGACAGGAGCCCAAATGTGAAACCAGTTTCCACTCAAGTTCGATGAAAGTTTAACAAACAGAAAACCTCTGATTAAAACAAAAGTTAAAAATTTCAACAACAAAGTCCCACCTGTGCTTGTTAAATTGTGCAAGGAAGACAGAATCTCGCAGCCCCCGGGGGTAGAAGGAGAGCCTCCCCCACACTGCTGGATTGCAGTCATTTGGGCTTTATTCCACCTCCATCCTTCCCAGCCCTCCTCTAGGACCCATGCTGTCGGCTATATTTTATTTGAGATCTGGATGGATTTATTTCCCAATAAGCCAAAACTGACAAAAGGTGGGAAAGGGAATTTTTCGCCACTCAGGTCCAGTTTAGGGTTTTACGTTCTACTGGCCTCAGATTTGAGAGCTTTGGCTGAAGCTGGGGAATTCAAATAGGATCCAATGTGAGATGCTTGTAAGCCAAGAGGCTGCTTGCCTATACACCTTGAGCATTATGTTGCATGGTAAGGGCAGGGTAGAGCTCCCCTCAGCTCCCCCCTCCTACCTCTGGCATTGATGAGTGGAATGAGCTTGGATTCTCACTTTTTATTCACATGCCAGGGCAGGCCTAAAGGTTTGCAGACCTAGAGGCCCTGGGTGCCCAGTTCAGTTCTGCATGGAAAGAGTCATGCTGGGCAGTTCCAAGAGTAGCTACTTGTTAAAGTCCCCATGGCTAAGTACAGACATTCGGGGGCATTAAGGGACGGTTAAATCGATTCAAAATGACCGACTGATATCCCGTAAGTCAAGATGGGGGGAGGGTAGTGGGGGGGTTAGGGGTCCACCAGGGGATGGAGGGCAGGCACAACCTGTGGGTGGGGTGAGGAGGCAGGCACAACCCATGGGTGGTGTGGGGTCCCACCCAGTGAACCTACACCCTGACCCCTCTCGCCCCTCTCCCCACCAAGACTTACTTGCTTGGCTCTGGTGAAAGCCGATAAAAGCAGCTGCACCCAAAGCAGCTTGTGGGATGGGGATTCAGACTGGCTGGTTGTGGGGGCAAAAAATAGCCTGGTGGGGAGGGGGTGAAAAGAACAACCCTGGGGCTGGGACCAGTGGCTGGGTTTTCCCAGCCCTAAGGCTGCACAGGAAAAATGTACAAAAGTTTCATGCACCAGTTTGATCTACATCAAATGAGTTTGATACTACATAGATCCAGATTTATCTTAAACCAGGTTCTGCAATTTTTAGACCGGTTTGTGTATGTGGAACTTCTGTATGGTTACAGGTTTAGCCTGATTGCCGATCACTGAGACCAGATCTGTAAGTGTAAGGTCAGCACTGGGATGAGCTGAATTTAAATTGGGAGGCCATTCTAAAACCAATTTTACCTCCCCAAATGTCTGTACTTAGCCCTGTCCCTGCGAATGTGTCTCCTTGTTCCTTACCAACAATAATGTGTGGCTGTGCAGCAAGTCGATACAAAACGTAACCATCCCTTTACATGTTGTGCTTGCCCTCTGCAGAGGAGTGATTTCTTATCCAATGCTATAACTCTTTCAATCCACCTCAGCCCTAAAATGCTAGTTCCAGTTCTCCCTAAATCAGAGACTGCTTATTGTGCCAGGCTGTATGGCAGTATGGTAAATGGTGACCTGCAGGCTGGATAAAAACTATTTCCCCTGTTATTTACCAAGCTTCTTGTGCAAGTGCACAATGGTTTTTTCTAAAATCTAAAGCATCTTCTAAAATCTAGAACGAAGCAGACTTCATCTACGTCATCAAGGCATCTATTGTATGCAACAGGTGGAGGTAAGAAGAGATGAGCGACCAGTTAAGGTGGACAGTATGAATTCAGACTTATCACAAAAGTCATGTTCTCTGCTTCCAGGATTTTAATCTGCAGTTTAACTTTACCAGTAGCAGGAGTTGCTTTAGGGTGCAGGGTTCAATAATTCCACCTCAGGAGAACACATATTCAAGAAACTGCATTGGAAAACAATTCCTTTTGGGTTAACAAAAAAAGGCAATCTGAATTTAATCAAACTCCACACAATCTGAAAGGTGCAACTGTGCATAAAATCTCGAACCATTCTTACTGGGCATGCTCGTAAAGAACGTCACTTCAGGTTTGCTAGCTGAGCTGGCATCATGCCCCGTTCAAAGAATAACCTGTTGCAGAAAGTACTGCTGGCTTTAGTGATTTGACTTGCCTTCTTCCCCGGTTTTAAAAAGATCAATGCCAAGCATGCTTGCATAACAATGGTTCTAGCATGTATTCCATGCAACGGTGGGGAGGACTGTCACGTACAGGGAAGGGAGAATTTATGCCCTAAAATACCTGCATGCTGTCCAAGGTGTTCTGGGTGAAGTGCAAAACAATAGATTCCAAACAAGACACAGTGAACAAAGAAATGTGAAATAAAGAAAGAAATAAAAAACAGGTTTGAGCACTTTTTTTTTTTTAAACATTTCAAAACAAAATACATTGAAACAGTTACTACGTGTGAAAACATGCATTAAAAAGCAAACCGCACAACAGTATACTTCAGAAATCAATATTGCTGCAGGTCTCGAATCTTAAGGGTTAAATAAAAACAATGGTAAAATTAATAGGCCATAGAAAGCAAAAGCTTAAGAAACTTGGTTTAATGGGGTTACGCAAAACGGAGATAGCAGACAAATTAGATAAACAGAAACTTCGATTAGGTTTCAAAAGGTATAAATGATCACTTGTCTGCTTTGCTTCTACTTATTTCCTCTTGCATCATATACTTTCCACCAAATATTAAATTATTATCTTATATTTGTTAAAATCAATTTTAATATATATGATAATAATGAAAGCATATGAGTAAAGCATTTCCTGGGGAAGAAGGAGCTTTTAGAGGAAACAATATATAAAAGAAACAACCTTTTTCTACAGGTGATTATTGCACTAAGAAGGTTCTTCTTCCATCAGTGCTTGAGGAGGCAAGTACATGAATGGAAGAACAGGTAATGGCAAAAAGAAAAGAAAAGAAAAAAGAAAAGAAAAGAGAAAAGAAAAGAACTAAAGATGATTTTTTTTCCCCAGAACTTAGTGTTAAGACATTCTTAAGATATTCTTTACCAAATCGAGCTCTGAAAAGTTGCTAGGTAGCTGCAGCCAATCTATTTATATGGGCACTGTATGTTCCTGATGAACTTATGTATTATTAAATGGTTATTACTTCATAACATCCTTGTGTCATGTTGGTCTAAGGCAGAAAAGAACAGTTTGCTACTCATCATTGACAATCCATTATGTATGAAACAAAATAGAACAACAAGAGAAAGAAATCTGGCTGCATTAGCGCGTCATTTTGCTATTTTGGTCAACAGTCTTGTAGCATTTGATGTACTTGGAGGGACAGTATGTACAATGGAAAGTTAGGACCAGAATTGCACTGTTCCCTTAGAGGTATTGTTAATGCCTGCCACAGGGACTTCCTCACAGCACTCCAAGTGTTTTAACAATACAGAACCAATAAATGTCTTGGCTGCCACAGGATCATGCAGCAGATCTCATTAGGGTGCCGATCACCTTCAGCTTCTAGCGACATAGGAGCTGAGGGATGCTCAGTAGCTTGAAGTAACCTCAAGCAGGCTTTTGCTGGAGCTGGGCTGAAAACATTTTTTCCCATCCCAGGAAAATTCTGAAAAAGTGTCCCAATCCCAAATCAAGAAGCATTTGAAATTGTGAAATTGCAAACCTACAATCTTAAAAAAAAGAAAAGAAAAGGAAGAAAGTCAGGTTTGATCAAACAAAATATCTTGATCATTGTAAGGAATTTCACTTAGATTTTGAGAATGCATTTGTATTGTCTCCAGGTAGTTTACATTTTGAAATAAAAGGTAAATCAAGCCAAAAAAAAGAAAGCGACTGATTTTGAATCAGTAATAGCAGACAGTGACTCTGCAACTATATTGACATTTTTTTCCCAAATGAAATTGAAACAAGAGGTTCATTGAAATGGACACTTTCCAGCAAAAAAGTTTTGGCTTCAGCATTTTGGCATTTTCAGACCAAATACAAAAAATAATTCATCCAAAAAGTCCTGATCAGTTCTAATTGCCTGCTGCCTTTCCTTGCCACTTATCCTGGCCTCTTTGCATGCCGGAGCATCTAGCCTGGGGCGACAAAAAGGCCCTTACAACAGGAGGATAAAACAACCTTCAAATCTGGCATCATAACTTGGTGCACATTTAATTTGGTTGCACGCACAAAATAATGACATCTATATTTAATCTGAAACTTTATATGTAAGTGGCCCCAGAGTGATGACAGGTTTTAATCCACTCTCAGATCCAGCTCTGCTCCAGCTGAAGTGAACAGCTAAATCTGCAGTGATCGGGCTCTTATTCTGTATGTTTTACACAAGAAAAAAGTCACTATATTTTCTGAAGCCGTAAGTGACTGCATCACTAAGGCCTTTCTTGTGGATTAATGACCAGCTTGAATAGACAGAAGGCTGGAAGTGCAACCGAGGGTCGATAAACACAGCTACTCATTAATCCCCAGAAAATGCCCTGTGCCAAGGTCATCATTGCTATGAGGAGCTGCTGATTAAACTAATATCGATTTTCAGTTTTTATGGATTGATGTTGTCTTAGTCTGTACAGGGCAATTAGCACACTGTAAATTAGCCAGCCAGACTACTTGAATTATCTCTCAATATTCAAGGCATTTACATTTTTCAATGTAATAATCTTTCCAGTATGCTCTGAGAGCAGAGGGTGAGAGCTCAGCACTTGTTGATAATCAGGGTCTTTTATGATATCTCTAGTGGGTCACCCAAAATCGCTAGTCCATTTGGAAAGTCTTGGCTTATAATTTTACATGCCATTATCTGTTTACAGAGGTGGCAGTTAAAATTTGCCAAGTACTATAGGTAATTAAATAATATGTGCAGTTAACTAGCTTGAGCATTTACAGTATGGAAAACATTTCCTATTGGAAACATATGGATTACTGAAAACACTGAGCCAACCATATCTATATCTTAGTTGTGAGTAGGGTTTTTAAACAATGCTACTGTTAGCCTATATGGGCTCTCACTGAAGTCAGGGGAAGTTTTACCATTGATTTCAGTGGGAGAAGAGTTAGGATGATACTGAATGCCTTTGAAAATCCCATATAAAAATGGTAAGTCTTTCAGTTCTGTGATTATACTCATCTTTAAAGAAGGGAAGAATGGAGGAAAACATGGCAACATGAAGGGATTTATGGTTAAGAAGCCTGATTTATAATAAAAATTAAGGGGATTTTGTAGGTCCATTTTTGTTTTTCTTCTCTTGATGTGTAAATAGGCTGATGGACACGTGTTGCCAGGGCAGTCCTTCCTTTACCATTACTGGCCACTATCTGTAAATGAAACTTTGATTCTGTTGCAATGGAAAAAAGTATATAAGCAGTACTAATGCAAATACAATGGCCCTCATCTTCAATAGGTCTCAAAGCAGAATATAAACAAAGGTATCACAATCTCTGTCTTATAGACACAGAGGCAGAAAGAGAGTAAGGGAACACAGGATTTCTGCTTTCCAGTTCAGTGCTCTAGCCACTGAGCTGTAACTGCATCCTCTATCACATAGGTAAGTTAAAAATGAAGAGGAGTATTTCCCCACCGATTCTACAGTCTATCAGAGACCACTGTATACTGGAGGGGTTGGAATAGAGCTGATATAATAACAAGCAAAGGATGGCTTTCTTACCTCTAGCAGCTGAACTGCGCCTTCGTGTTCTTTCTTGGCCTCAACCTGAGCCTTTTTTACAATAACAGAAAAAGGAAGAAAGCAGGTTACTCTCATGCCACATTAAGTTTGCTCTAATTTAAGCACAGTCATGTTTGCATGAAAAGGGTGCTTTGAAATGACAGTTTTATGTGCTTCTATTCAGAAAAAAATCAAGTGCAACCAAGTTTAAAACAAATATAAACAGAGAATCCTGTGGGCTGTACACGGAGCTGAGGAACAGAAGCAAGCACTGTACAAATACATAAATTGCCGATATTTTATAAAAGGCCACTAAATGGTATACTTTATAGTGGTCTGATCCCAAATTCATCACAGTCCAGGAGGACGGGATCTAGCAAAAGAACAAACACAAGAGGTCCCAATGCACTAAGGTATGTATTTTACTTTCGGCATCAGTAAGCCCGAGTCCCACTGAAATGGACTTAAGTGCTTTCTGGGACTGGGGCCAATATGTTCAGCCCATCACAGAATCAAGCTATGAGTTACTGTTAGTTTCTCCCCAAGAAAATTTAGCACCCATTTATTTCTGTTGTACCTACTGTCAGACCAGTTTAACAGCTAAAAGGATGCAGTTCAACGCAGACAAGTGTAAAGTGCTACCCTTTGGGAGGAATAATCAAAAGCACAAATAAAAAATGGGGGCTACCTGGCCAGAGGGCAGCCTGTGGAAAAGGACTTGGGCATGTTGGTAGACCACAGACTCAGTAAGAGTTTGCAGTGTGATGCAGCTGCAGAAAAAGCCAATGCAGTTTTTGGCTGTATCAAAAGAAGCATTAGGTGCAAGACACAGGAATGGAGGGGCACAGGATAGTGCCTCTCTACTTGGCACTGCTGAGACCTCATCTGGAGTACTGCGTGCAGTTCTGGTGTCCACGTTTTAAAAAGGATGTGGAGAAGTTAGAGAGGGTCCAGAGGCAACAAATATGATGAAAAACTTGGAAGGCAAGTCATACGAGGAGAGACTGAAGGATCTAGGCATGCATGTTCAGCTTGCGGAAAAGGCGCTGAAGATGGAATATGGTAGCAGTCTTCGCATACTTGAAGGACCGCCATAAGGAAGAGGCAATGCACATTTTCACTCTTGCTTCAGAGAGGAGGATGTGGACCAATGGCTTGAAGTTGCAGCAAAGTCAATTTGGACTGTTACATACTTTCCAGCTCTAACTTCATAGCTGACTGGACCTTTTTAAAGGTATGATAGTTAATTTGCATGTGTAGTTGGTCTAAATTAATTGTGCAGTTAACCAGGTAATTGCGTTATACACGTCATGTGTAGAAGGGGCCTTAAGTGACACCTGCCCTGCCTTCTGCCGGACTTCAGATTGACTGCCTCTCCTAAAAATTAGGTTCAAAATGTCTTAGGGGGGGCCCAAGATTGTATGTGACTGCCTACTTTGCCAGGCACTATGAATGGACTCTGACTAATTCTTTACTATTTAGTTTTGAGAGAGAAATTCTACTGGACATTTTGAACCTGATTTTTAAGGTCCTATGACATAAAGCTCATATTCATTTCCACAATTTATAGTGGTGTGATTGGCAGCTGGAATACGTAAGGAAATGCAATAAATTAATGGGTTCTTTCTAAATCAATTTCATGGCATCGCTATGCTGACAGCATCACTTAAAATGTAACAATTCAACAGCCTATTTGTCCGGCTACCTCTTACTCCACTTCTGTACAGAGCCTTCTTGAATAAAATAACAGCTAAGAACAGAACTGCTGAAGCACTGAAAAATATGCTGGTCACTCAAATTAGGATGAGGACACCCAGATGTTACAAGACTAAAACTTCAAGTAACAACCACAGCAGTTCATGATAATCTCTGTATCTGCATATGATTTAGAAGAGCATTAAACAGCATTAATAAAATGTTAATGTTTCAAAATACTGTATGAACCTTAACTTTAAGTAATGGTTCTGAGTTTTTAAATATTTAATTTTAATGAAAGGATCTTAGTAATAAAATGATATATCTGGAATAAGCTAATTAAGCAAAGAGTGGTATTCAGCTGGCAGTGTATATCGCAGAGCCTTTTAAGAAGCAGCTGAAGTCAACTGAAAATTTGTTTTCAACAATAAATTTAGCGCTAGAAAAGTTATTTGGAGCATAGTTTTGCTATATTGAGGATGGGGACAACATATAACAATAACAACAAACATATAACATATACATTTTAAATCAATGTAATGTTTAGCAGTAGTTCATACTGAGCTAAATAAGGGTGATTTCTAATAAAAAAAATAGCACTGAGCTGCTGATAAAAATGCTGCAGTTCACTGTAATAATATATGGTTATTTAACTAATACCACAGACTGAAAGCAATATTTAAGATAAATGCCTGAAGGACATAATGGTTATGAAGTGGAGGAAGTTTTCTGCCACTAGCAAGTCAAAGACAAAATGAACATATTTCATAGTTTCATAGTTTCATAGTTTCAGGGTCGGAAGGGACCTAATAGATCTTCTAGCCCGACCCCCCGCCAGGGCGGGAGAACAACCCAAAAACAAAACAAAACAAAACAAAACGAAACAAACAAACAAAAAAACACACACACACCCTAAAAACAAAAACGGGACTCAAATGAGTCCAGCCAGGTAAGTATCCAGCCTCTTCTTAAAGATCCCCAGGGTAGGGGCCAGCACCACCTCCCTTGGAAGTTGGTTCCAGCTCCTAGCCGCCCTAACTGTGAAGTAGTTTTTTCGGATGTTTCGGATATTTATGTTCACATCACTCATTTAGTCCTGAAGCTTAAATTTTATAACATCAACAATTAGGCTCTGATTCAACAAAGCACTTATGTATGATGGGACCTCAGCCCATGTATGATGCATTACATCTGTAAAACTCTTTAAAGCTATTAACTAATTAATCCTTCCCCAAACAAGCAGCTGTTTGCAAGCCACTGGGAAGTGCTTTGTAAACCATGGGCAGTCCCTGGGTCAGATAGGGAACTACTGTTGTAAGTTATAGTATAATGAAATTTAAAAGGGTAAATTAAACATTATTTTTTAATGAATGCTCATGTTTTTTCACAACTGGACAACAGAGAAGACTACATTAAAGTAATTAAATCTCAATGCCCATGAAATTTGGTTAAGGCATTACATTAGTCTTAGTATTTCATGATTAGTGTCCTAGTTTATATTAAATTACTATCTGAATTTTACGTAGTTAAGTCAACAGGTATTAAAACTATATACACTGGACAGGTCTGTATGTTGGAAAAGGTATTTGCAGAGTAAGTTAAGCTTGTCCAAGCTGAGTTTCTGGGGATATAATGTGGATCACTACAGCTGTGGTTTACAATGAAATGGTATCAATTTAGGGGATATATAGTGAAAAGTCTACCTTTGGTTTCAAGCAATGTAAAAGGGACCATCCAGAGTTAGTGTTTTTTTTTTATTGTTTCAGTTATATAACCTCTTTGTTCATATATTTGGAAAGATTATACAGTATTAAGCTTTTAATAAACAGGTAAAATTGATATTGGTGAATATCAACGTGATTGTAAGAATACAGTAATAACCACTGGGATAAATAGCCAGATGCCAAATGCAGCAGTGCACTACATCACAATGGCCAAATCACAATTGCAGTTGGTCTCTTTGCATTTTTATTTGTATTTCTTGCCCTCAGTTATTGATTAGTGTAAAAAAAAAATGCTGTATTGCATTTCAGTGGGCTTGTCTACACATGCCTTTTTAAAGCAGGATTAGCCTAAAATCTCCATTTTTAAGGAGCATTAAGGGTGTGTGTATACACATGCATGCCCTTAATGCACCTTAAAAATGGTGATTTTAGGTTAATCCTGCCTAAATTTGATACCTGCTTAAACAAATACCATATTTAACCTGGCAAAGCTAAGTTGCATTAGCCCAGGTGTAGACACTTAATGCTCATTAGCACAGCTCCACATGCGCTAATGCGATTTAGTTATGCCAGCCTAAATTTAATGCGCCTTAATGCACATTAGCATGTCTATGTGTAGACACGTGCCTAAATCACCTTAATGCACCTTAAATAAAGAATTTTACCCATGAAGTTGTTTCCTGGGTGCCATGGCACTTTGGAGATTAACTAACAGTTGTAAAGTTCTTGGTGTTTCTCAGCAGAAAGAAGATGGACTGTGACCGAGAAAGAGAGTGTGGGGGGGGGGGGGGGGGGGGGGGGGTGTGTGCACGCGCGTGCATGCACATGCATATGCGTGTGCATTTCAGCTTCTGCCTATGGTACTATCTTCAGAGAGAAAGAGATAGTTGAGGGAGTGTCAGAAAAAGACAATGTGAAATGTGGATTCATTTGCACAGCAGGGAGGTGATTTTTACTGTTCAGAAGTTCTCCAAAGTGAAGGAAAAGGGGCTAGGGAGTGAGATAATGGCTTGTTCTGCTCCTGGAGACCTTTGTCAGAGTCTGGTCAGGAAGAGCCTTTTAAGAAATCTCAAATTTTTGTAGCTGTCAGTAATTTCTTGCTAAACTTCTTTTACTTGCCTTTCTGTTTCCATTGCGGATGTTAATGAAGTTTGTTCAGATTGGTGAAATGTAATAATCCTTATGTCAAGGCTAGCACAATGTACTAGTCTGGCCCACCAGTTACATGGCAGGGTGCTCAACCTCAGTCCTATTCTCTGTCCTTCCCTGAGCACCATTTATTCATACACCTCATCAGGTCCTAATGTAAACATTGCTCAGAACAGGAGTTGGATCAGATCCTGAAGGCACAGGCGGTGTCTGCTCAAATTGTGAATTAATCTGCTGCAAAATATTAAAGCTTCCCTTGGCACCAAGAAGTACAGTTATATTTCTTCTTGTCCCATAGTAATAAGTCTTCTTGGTATCATCTGATAACATATTGGTTCCTGGAGTGCTAGCAAACATATTATTACAGGTAATAGAAACCCTTACATTATCTATCATTACAAGTTTAATAAAATCTATCCAGAATAGGAGCTTTTGATAAATGATTGGGAAACCTGAATCAATAGTTCTCTATCTTGCATTGCACAGGTTCATAATAAACTGTGTTGGTGAGGAACTATCCTATCTGGTTTCCTATCAACACGAATTCTGGATGAATGATATTACATTCTTCAACGGAAGATTGAAGGGCTGGATAAACGCAGGTTGATAGGAAGAAAAGTGTGCACACACCTGCACACACACGCATACAACACATAAATAACCGCTTATTATTCTACCGCAATGGGACAGCAAATGCACCAGCAAGCAGCAGTTATTGGCTTTGTTTATGGGCATATTACCTTGGCATCTTATCAAGCTTAGAGTAGTACTATGTCTAAATTCCAAATCTATTAAAGGGTTCCCACCACATTAATGCCCAGATATGATAGTATTTTATGGGGACCGGTCTCAAGCAATTAGATATATTCAAGAAAAAGGTAGGAAAGGCAAATCCAATGCAAATCTATTGACAAAGAGAGGGGTTAGCCACCCTATGCTTTAAATGTGAAATGTAATGGCCTGTGTATACAGGTCAAAGTACAGGATTGAATGGTCCCTTCTGGTTTTAAGTGCTATGACCATAGCTACCCAAGACAAAAACACACATAGACTACTACTAAATGAGCAATCAGGCTGAATATCTCTGGACAATAGGAAGCTGGCTTTTGGAGTTTGTGATGGACTCGGATGAAGTTCAGTTTGATTACAAATCCATTTCCTTACCTGTGCCCTATTACTGCAATCTGCCATTTTGCTTCCTTTTCATTTTCTCTACCTACCTTCTGCAGGAGTTCAATTTCCTGCTGTTTTGCATTGAGAACAGCCAAGGCTTGCTCATGCTCCAACTCCAGCTGTTGCCGCCGTTCAGCAGCCTCTCGCATATGCTATTTCAGAGAAAAAGAAACATATACATTAGGAGAAACAGCTCTGTCTGAAATCAAATGCACTACTGCTTTGGAGCAAGATACTGATCTCACTGTAAAAACTTACTTTGGTAGCACACATACGCAAAGCAGATGGAATTTGCATTCAGCCAGGCCCAGAGGCAGATTCCCCCTGTGGAAACTGAGGCATGCAATATGACTCTCCATTAACTTCTAGCAATGCATGGACTATGGCTCATAGTTAAACAATTCCTATTCCAGCCATGAGAAGGCAGTGTTACTATACAGCCTAGACCCACCCCCCAATTATGCAATCATGCAGTACCATGTTAAGTATTTTCACCTTAGGAAAATTTAAGCTTGAGAAATTCCCTAATTGATTTTTAACCTGGACTCTTGTTTCCTGATTTGCTTCGTGAATGTTCATCGCAAAGAAATACTTTGCTTTGGCTACTCTATTATCTGACTACTATTTATTATCACACAGGGGTGGATCCAGGGGGTGTGCCACAGTGCTGTCGCACCCCCTACCCCAGCTGATCTGGGTGCAGAGGAAGCCCCAGAGTCACAGGCTGTGGCTACGTGGGGTGCCAGCACATAAGTTCTTTCTTCCAGCGTCTGCTCTGGCTACGTGGGGTGCCAGCACATAAGTTCTCTCTGCCAGCGTCTGCCCCCCAGCCACTTCTCCCCCACAGGTATCCCTCGCTAGCTGGGAGCAGGCACAGAAAGGAGATCCTGCAGAGCACCACCGCTGTCCCCAGCTGAGCCCAGCACCCTGTGTAGCCACATCCCATAGCCCCAGACTGGAGTGGGGTAGAAATGGCTGTGGGACTCCCCCAGGCCCAGGTCAGCCAGGTCGATAGGGAGCTGAGAGGCAGACCCCACCCCTCTTCATGCACGCCTGGTGTCCCCTGCCAACCCACAGACTCCAGCCATGCCTTGCCCCCATTCCCCCATGGTCTGAGGGGCAGTGTGCCTCATTCCCCATAGGAAATCCTGGGTCTGTGCATGTTATCACTGGAGATCCTAAATTTCCATGATTAAGACAAGTCCATTTTCAGATAAAATAAACCCATAAAAATCCACGTTTTTCCACAGTGATCCCCCCACCCCCAGCACTGATTGGCTGAGGGGGTCCCAAAGGCAGCCCCACCCCTTTACTATTGATTGGCCCTTCAGGTGGCCCCATGCCTCACTGAATGGCAGAGAGCACTGCCACTCATGCAGCCCTGCCCCTTGATGCTGATTGGTGGAGAGGGCGGGGTTCTGTGGGCAGCCCTCAGCTAATTAGCAGCATAGGAAGGAGGGGGGTGGCCGCCATCGTGGCTGTTTCCTTGTGTGCCGGAGACTTTTCCCCCCCAGTGGGCTGCCATTTTATTTTCAATTTCAGTTTTAAGTTTTAATTTATTTTTCCTGGCGATTCTAAAGATTCTCTGTAAAGTTGCAAATTCCACATTTTTCTGTGTCAAACAGATTTTTAGGATCCCTGGTTATCACATACATATGGCGCAGGTGGATTTGGGTGTTTGGAAATTACTGCAGAGTACTGAAAAAGTAGTTTGTTTTTTTAAGAAAAGCTTCAATTAATGATTTAAAGCAATATGAGGCAAGATCACAAACAGAAAAATGTCAAGACGCCCTTTACAGATAGTTATCTTTTTCATTAAAGAATATGATTAAAGTTCAGCTTCATAACATCAGACCTTCCTAACACCATGTGCAATAAATGGGAATAAACAAAAGAGACCTGCTCCTAGATTTCAATCTCCTCCCTGTTGCAGCTAATATAAAGACAGAGTTATTTTCCAGAACACACTCGATGTACAAGCTCAATGCATTACTTATGGCAAGGAGGGTTTATATGGATACAGATAGGAAATTGTGGAAAATTGCGCTAGGGGGCAGGGGCAGAAATAGTACTGGGCTACCATTAGCCATACTGGGACTACCATCTCACTCAATGTGTATTGGATAAAGAACTTACTCTGACTGGTCCTATGCGTCTTGTTAGCTGAGTTATCATTATGTACTTTACGTGCAACCAAGAGGGGCAACAGAAAAAGGCTGGCTGACCCCCGTCTGGAAGCATTTGCTGAAGTGACAGTGGTATGTATCTGCAAGATCCCTTTTGGGCTCTATTCCAGTCCAATTTATTTTTAAGGAACTGGTGAAAAACAGAGACCAAGATCTTCATAAGTCAGCAGTGATTTTGAGCATCTTAAGCCCTAGGCCTCCAACTCCAACACCTTAGGGGCTTCATTTTCAGAGGGTGACTCCTCCATATTTTCTGAAAATTTGACCTGAAGGTGTCATAATGTGGGTGCCCAAAACACAAGGCATCTAAAATCACAAGTCAACTTCCAGAATCTGGTTTTTGTTACATGACTTTCAATATGTTAAAATCTCTTCCCTGGATTACATATATGAAAGACACTTTTTGGGGGTTAAATCTGACCATAACTCCAGCTCGCAGCATGCGACTGACGGTTCAATTCACTTAGGAATCCACCGGGTCCCTGTAGCAAACGTCCGCTTCAGCAACCTGGAAATAAGTCCGCAATGTTTTGCTGTGCTCTGCAGAACTAGCTCTCCTCCTGGTACTCACGTGGTGTAGCTTGGGCAGAAATAAAGGGACAATTCAAAGTGGTGCCCATGCCCAGGTCTATTAAATAGCAGAACAAGATTTAATATGCCTTTTGCTACCTGGAGGGTATGACTTGGAAGGAGACGACTGCCTCCTCATTTCCTTACCAGAGGGACTTTGCTGGCACTAGGTATTTGAGCGAATTCAAGCAACGTTAATTAGTTGTTGGAAGAAATCAAAGCTGACAGGAATGCACCTTCATTTGTGGGCTAAGAAGCAAGGACAAAAGGGAACTGAGGGACCAGGGCTGGAAGTGGTGGACGAGCGTTTAAACAGAAACCGATTACAATCACTTCCCTCGCCAATAATAAGCAGCTGCTGAACAGCTTCTCCTGACAACAGTGACAAGCAGTAATTAAAAGCCTTGTTAGTGGTTAAAAGGCCCACAATTCGTGAACAAAAACTGTCTGCCCTTCCTCTTCCTGGAGGTTGGACCTGGGCAGGCTGTTTACACAGATGCCGCTGTTGCTGGAACAATGCGAAGGAGGAGGAGGGCACATGGGCAAGTCATGCCTTTATACACATGCGTAGGGATCTCAGGTTCTCCCAGCTAGTGCTTTGCATGCTTCAAGTGAACGGCTGCAGGTGACTATGTTGTTCTGAGCACATTACAGAGCAAGTTCATTTTAGTTTAGAGATCCCAGCCTGCTCTATTTTCAACAGGATTTCATGAGTCTCACACCAATAGTAAACAAGTGGGGGCAAGGACATCTCTGCTGGTGGGGGGAGACAGTAGCATTCAAGCTGTATCCCTTAATGGAAGGACAGCACTGAAATGTCAGGTGTGCGGGCACATGGGCGAACTAGAGGCGCTTTCTCTGACCCCAAGAAAAGTTTGAATTTTCCAATTCAATGGAGTCCATTCTGCACTTCTGTGCAGCTCCAGACTGCACACCTCCGTGGGTTTTATAAACTTAGCTGGACCTGTTCATGGGAAATACCTATTCATGGGAAATACCTGCAGTTCTCAGCCCGTGCTTGTAGTCCAGGATGATGAGTCTGATTCTGGTCTCGTTTACACGGGAGTAACTTCTTTGACTTAGTAGAGTAACTCCTGTTTTACCCCGGTGTGAGGTCAGATTCTTGACCCCTGGGAGCTGCACTAAATTTCTTATGTTAAGGGAGACATTAGGGCAGAAGGATCCCAGAACACCTATGGGAATCCTAACCCTGTTAATCTGAAAAACCTCACACAGATCCAGTGGCCTCACTCTGCTCCCTGAAGATTTAATGGTAGATTTACTGTAGCGTGCTACTAAGGTTCACTACTTCCACAAAACCCTACTTTATCTCACATGCTAGGAAGAGTGATACTTAATATAGAGGTGTCAGATCAAAAGAACAAATTACATGTTGCAATGCAGTGTTTTCCACCTCCTCTCACCCCCAACACACGCTGTCTTTGGTCCAAAGTTTAAATCAGAGTATTTAATACCCTGAAATTCATGGCTTTTAGAGAAAGGACAACTAGATTATCTGGTCTGACCTCAAAGCACCTCAGAACTGTTTCAGCCTGCCCTGTTCTACTCAATGCTAAAAGTGGTCCAGCTGCTCATACCCCCAACAATTTTTATCCCCCAACCCAAAGTCAATCCACATCTGTTTTGCCCCTTTTTTCCTTGCTGCTACTGGGGTTCTTCATCCACTTCCCTCAGACCCAGAAAGCAGGGTGGCAAACACTCTTCTTTTATCAGGACGGGAGAGATGAAGAGCAGAGAAACTCTCCTGTTGATCACAGGTGGAGGATGCAGTGCAAGTTTGACCTGCTAAACTCATCCTTTCTGTGCTCTCCTGCTGCGAAAACTGGTTCCTGTGGGAGGTATGTCTTATCCTCAAGATCAGAGGCAGGATTCCCATTACAATGCTTGGGGTGGGGTGCAGAAGACAAGTACCGCACTCTTGTCTCTTGGTCCTACGTAGCTCTACTTTTGCTTCCTTCAGCACAGGTTGCTTTTGGAGCCGTATTTAAAGAATTGGCAGGGCTCTGCTTCCAAGTAGCCCTACCCCTACTACTGTTGTAGAGGAAGGTGAAACACCCCATTCTAGACCCATCCCTCACAGGGGACTCACTATAGGATATAAGGTTTTGCAGAGGAAAATGGCATGCTAGATAACTGCGAGCACACGTGTTTAAATCCCTGTCTCAGGAGCCAAATTATTTTAACCTTCTGATATGTATAAACCATGGCTGACCTGAACATTGCCTTGAATGGCTTTCACATGTTCGAGCTTTGTTTCTGAAAGACAGCTCGGATGTGACACCAAATGGGGTGAAAATTTAATTCACACAAGAACACCACGATGAAAGGACCCGTCGCTGGCTTTTGCAGACAGTGTGCTGTCACAGTGGACTGAA